GAGAGAGAGAGAGAGAGCTCGCGCCGCATCTACGCGGGGCGTGTCGCCGTGACCGGCGAGAAGCCTCCCGGGCTGCGCCGCGCCGCGTTCTGCGCAATCTGCGGCAGCAGCGCGCACGTGTTGAGCGCGGTGGCCGCGGACTGGCCCAGCGCGATGGCCTGTGAGCGGGCGGGGTGTTGTCTTCGCAATCATCATCCGTCGAGTGAGGGTTGCTCGAGGTCTCGCCAGGCGAGGTGCCTCGGGCGGCGCAGGGGCGATGGGTTCAGGTACCGTGGGGTAGGGGAGGGTGGGTTCGGGTACCGTGGGGGTAGGGGAGGTCTCGTGGGCGAGGTGCCTCGGGCGGCGCAGCGCTCAGCGCCCAGGTGGCGGCGGCGAGGTAGCTGAGGGCGAGGCCTGCAGACAGGAGCAGCGCGGCACATGCTGCACGCCCGCTCTTTCCTCAAGACTGCGTTGGGAGCGCGACTAGCACGCCCCGGCGGGCGTGGCGGGACTGAACGGGACCGCATAGCGATAGAATGCACGCAGCAGGCGGGAACGAGGGGCTTCCGCTTCGGGCTTGGATCGATATCCGGAGAGCGCAGCGGGAGGGCCGGCAACGCGCCTGCAAAGGCCGCGTCGAGCCGCCGCTGGAAGTGGGCGACGAGCAGCAGCACGCCGCACGCCTCGACGGTGATGATGAGCGTCTCGATGTAGGTGGAGAGTGGGTAGCCGTTCCGAAAGCTGTACGCGTCGGAGCACGTGTACGACAGCAGCCTGGAGTGAAAGGCCATTCAGCCGCTGCTCAAAACTCTGCGAATCAAAGAATCAGGTCGTTACCTCTCGTGCAGTAGCTACAGGAACCCGACTGTGGCATCTAGGGGTGCCAGCTTGAGCCACCACGTCGAGAGAGTGAGGCCATCGGCGCTTCGCTGGCGGTACACGCGCGCAGCGATCGGCGTGTAGAGCAGGAGGCTTCCCGCGCCGACGAGGAAGCCGAGCCAGCGGGCGATCAGTCCAGCGTCCGGCGACGCAGCAGCGAGCTGCAGAGTCTCGGCGGCAAGGGTCCGAGGCAGGCGCGTCAGTTCTAGAGCCGCAGACGGCGACGCGAGAGCCGCAGACGGCGACGCGAGAGCCGCAGACGCCGCGCCGAGCCTCGCGTGTGCATCACATACGCAGGGGAGGAGCAGGAGCAGCTTGAGCATTGCTTCCGGGTTTGATCGGCGCTGGGCGGCAAGCAAAATGTGCGGCGTCGGCGGCCACAGCATCCGCCTCCACGATCTGATTGTCCGCCTGATCGCCGCCACCGCCATGCGAGAGACCGGGTGCGCCGCTCACCTCGAGAAGGGCCTCGGCTCCTCCACCGCCGCCGGCAAGAAAATCGACGCCGTGCTGTCGTTTGCAAACCGAACCGTCTACGCGGGCTCCGCCGCGACCGCCGTCATGACCGTCGACGTTTCCCGCCTCTGCCCCCTCCTGCCGAGCCACCTGCAGACCGCCGCGAAAGACGCCGCTGCCACCATCGACGAGAGAGCCCGAGAGAAGAACGCGAAACACTTGGCCGGCTGCATCGGCCTGGGACGCGCCTTCCTCCCTATCGTCGTCACCACCCTCGGCGGCATCGGCCCGCCCGCCTCCCGAGATTTCCTCTCCTCCCTGTTCGCCAACTCAATGGCCGCCGAGCGCGCCGCGGGCGGCTCCGGCCAGCTCACCGCCGAGCAGATGCGGGCGCGGATGAGGACCGAGGCTGCCAGGCCAACTTAGGCATTGAATAGATAAACAGTCTTGCTGTAAAGAATTACGGGAGAGGTGAGGAACTGTGAAGGTGTGAACATCAAGGCAGTGGGCATAGAGCCATATGGCAGTGGGTGGTGTGGGTCTGCAAAAAATTTGCACAAACTCCTATGACTGCACTCCAAGTGCTCCAAGTGCTCCTAGGCAAGCCACTCGAACGCGCGAAAACGCCGGCTTTCGAACCCCGGCGCCCGCCCTCTTTCTGGCCGCGTCCCTCCCCTGTCCTCTCGACTGGTTCCCTCTTTTACATACAACATACATAAATTCATGTGGCGTCCGCCGCAAAACGCGCTCGGTGGCCGCTCTCATCGCGAGCTGTCCCAGCTGACACACGCTCCGATGCCGTTCCGGCGCGCAAAAGAAGCTCCACAAGACATGAAAACCATCTGGCCATCTCTATGATTGATGCCGGTCGAGATAGGAGATTTTGCGCCGCCGCCATGGTCCATGGACATACATCTCGAGCTAGCCGCTCGCGCCTCGCCCCGAACGCCCGCCGATGCCTGCCCACCCGCGTGTGTGTTGGTGTGAAGCGGTGGCTCGTGCGGTCGTGTGGCTGGGCCAACCATGTCTCACACCGTCTGCGTCTAGAGCGGTATTCTGTGCTCTCTCTCTCTCTCGAGATGCACGTGGCGCTCTTGCTTGTTCGTTGTTTGATGTTTGCGTTTGTCCTGTCCGTTTTCCACACGTAGCGCGGAGGAGAGGTGCATACGCTACGCAGCCACACGGTGTTTTTGAGGGAGGTACGCTACCGCAGCCACAGCAATCCACCCTCAATCTGGCCAAGAGATTCCACAGCGAGGAGCATATACACGTTGCCACAACGCCGACCGCATCTCGCCGGCAAAGCGCATAGGCTAGGCGCCTGGGAGCTAGTAGTTTCGGCACGAGATGGGACTGTCAATCCTTTGCCTTGCTGTCGGTGCTTGTGCGGGCGCTGTCAATGCTCGAGCAGGCACTGTCGCGGTCGCCGCCCGTTCTGTCGCCTCCGATGATGGAGTGGGCGCGTTCGAGCGGCGCGCAGACCGTCTGATCGCCTCCGATGATGGAGTGCGATCGCTCGTACTGGATCGAGCCGCGCAGCTTCGCTAGCTCGTCAAGCACGGGTGGCGTTGGTTTGTCAGTCATGGCGGCTGGGCTTAGGCCTTACCCAACACTCAAGCCGCGGCGGCCCGCCACCAGAACTCGGCGGATTGCCTTCTGTTGTTTTTCTTCTGCAGAATTGATAGCTGGCGAGTGTGTGTGTGTGTGTGTGTGTGTGTGGCTTGGGGGCGCGGGCGTGGCGCCCGCAGTCCTCCTTCTCTTTGTGTTCTTCGGCTCTTCTCAACACACAGCACCAGTCGCAAAACAAGAAAGAAAGAAAGACAAAACAAAACAAAGAAAAAAGATGGAACTCCCTGGCTCCACGCTCCTGGCTTGGGAAAACAAGACACAGAGCTCACACAGGATCACAGCGGGAGGAAAGCGGCGAGTCGCAATTCCTGGGGTCCTTGTGGCGGGCCACCCTGTCCTGAAAGGCACAGGTGCCAATCTGGGGTCTTGTCGCGGGGGAAGGTGACTGCACCGAAACCCGCGAAGAATCGAGAAGGGAACTTGAGATTGGCCTGCGCCGCATTTAGATATAGTGTCCAGTGGTCGAATTGTGTCGGCGGGCCGAGTGTCGTTTCGCCTCTGTCGTTGGTCCTGGGATCCGGGTCAGCGTGGTTGTGGGAGAGCCCTGCAATCGGCCGGACGGGGGGGCACAGGCGCCTTGTTGCCGATTTGAAGCTCACGAGCTCGCTTGCGAGCCAGGGCAAGGACGCGGCCGGCGACGGAGAGCTCGGCTGGAAGGGGGCCTATGTACGTTTTGGCAACACGGAGACCGGGCTGCTCAAGTTGGTCAAAGGGCGCGGCAAGTGGTCTCCGTCGGGAGCGACGGCAGCGGCGGTGGCGGGGGAGGAGGAGGAGGCCGAGGAGGAGGGGGAGGAGGGGGAGGAGGAGGATGCCCCCAAGGGAAAGCTCCAGCAGCTGCCTGGCGATTACCGCTTTGCGCGGGAGCAGGATTGCGATCTACGTTTGTTTGATTTTGAGGCTTTCGGAGGCTTTGGAAAGGAGGTTCGCAGCACCCTGAGGGAGGCGGCGAACCAGCTGAGCAACAAACTTTCGCACGCTCAGCACCTGGACGAGGTCACATGGACCACCAAGAACTGGCACGGGCTGCAGATGCAGCGCTTGTCTGTCGTCCTCCACACCGCCGTGGCGTGGCAGACGGTGAACGAGCTAGCGTGCGGGGAGAGCGGCATTGTGCATGGTGCGGAGTGCATTGCCGTTCTTAACGGAGTCGCTTAGGCGGCTCCGGTGGTGAGCCGGTGTGTGTGCCAGTCCGCGCCAGTCCGCGCCCTTGTCGTGCCAGTGTGCTGTGAGATTTTACTGAGACAACTGTGTTTATTCTTTTACTGCGAACGTGTTGTTCGGCTCTCAACACACAGCACTCACCAGTCGCGAACATGCTACTCCCTGGCTCCACGCTCCTCCTGGCGCCGCTCCTCGCGCCACCGCCGGCCCGGCACGCTCCGCCGGCGATGGGCGGCTATACGGGGCTGCCACGGATGCCCGTCAAGGCTTGGCCGCTCACACGGCGATGGAACCCGACCCTCGAGTACCGCGAGAACATTGCGACGCTGTGGCGAGACCTCGAGACGCTCTATGCCGTCGAGGGCTCAACGAGCATCGCGGGTGGCGGCGTCGTCCGGCTCGACGCGAGCCGTTCTGTCAAGGGCGACAAGACCGGACTGAGCCGCGGGCTCAACCGCGCCGTCGACCTGCGTGCCGAGCTAGTGTATGAGATGGCGCGGCGCGAGCCGTCTCTGCTCAACCCGGCGGTGCGCAGCCCGCCAGTCCGCCAGTCCTTTTGACCAGACCTCACGCTTCCTCTGACGGCGCCGCCACTGCCATCAGGTGAGCAACCGGTTCGTCTTTGCCGAGTCCAAGCGCCTGCTCGCGCTCAAGGTGCCCCGACCTCCCGCCTGCAGACAGCGCACCGCCGCTCCGCTCGGGGGAGCAGCGTCCGGGCGCCACTCACCGCCAGCCCACCTGCCCTCCCTCTCGCAGCTTGGGTCTGAGGAGGAGGCAATCGAGGCGTGCGGCAGCCACCTCACCCTGACCGAGGCAATTTCGGCGCGCGTCCCACCCTTCTCCGCTTTCCAACAGGTGATGCGGCACGACCCGTCCATCCTGCAGGCGGGCGACGCCATTGAGGGCTTGGGCGTCGCGCAGATCCGTGGCCGTGCCTTCGCCGCGAGGCTACGGCGCGCCGGCCCGCCCGTGCTGGCTGCAGCGCTTCTCGCTGCCGCCGCCGCCGCGTATCTCGGGCCCGAGGGCGTTGCATTTATGATGATTGCGGATTGGTGAACAGAAGCCGGTGAGATTTTTGCTCTCGTCGGAAGAAGCATGAAGCCGGGACTCACTCTCACACCCCGAGACGGAGAGAGGGCATTCGAGCGTTGCGGCTTGCCACCGCGAAACACGTTTAGTTAAATTGTCGAGTGTACGCCACGCCGCGCATTCCACCACAGTTCCACACCGACTCTACATCACCGCCGCACCGCCGCACGAGCTCACCGCCCGCGTAACCCAACGCCCAGGCCCTCCAACTCGCTCGCGTCTGTGTCGATCTCAAATATCAGCCCACCGACGGTCGGTACTGCACCGTGTTAGCCTGCGCCTCCCTCCTCGGCGAGACTTCCTCCAGCAGGTCCTGCAAGGACTCCAACACGCCCGCGCCCTCCCGACACAGCGATGACACCTCGTCCGCTTTGGCCTGCAGAGTGGAACCCCGAGAGCTGAGCTGAGGTTTGGAGTGGACACAGCTGTGTGTGTGCAATTCTTCTTTCAGGCTCTCGCTGCGTTTCGCATTGCGTGCGTCTGCTCAATGGCTACTCGGCCGCCTGTGCCGCCTGCTGCACGCCCCACAGCAGCCGAACCGCGGTCTGCAGCTTCTCGATCGTCTGCTCCTTCTCGTTGTTCGAGGTCGCGAGCCGGTCGACCAGCAGGGCCGCCGCTCGGCTCTCGGCGGTCGCCTCATCGCGCTCGGTCGAGATTGCCTCCACCGCTGCCTCGAGCTCGCTGATCCGCGCGGCCTGCAAGCGGTTTGCCGCGACAAAGTCTTCGCGTTCGGACATCAGCGTCTTGATGTGGCTCGACGCGGCGCCATAATCGGGAGCAAACATCGGTGGCGGAGGCGGAGGCGAGGTGGAGAGGTGCGGCCGACGGCGAGTGACTAGCCGCCTAACACAACACAGGTTGAGCAAAAAGAATTCGGATCTTCGGGAGCTTCATGGCCTCCATGCTTGGCTTATCTGAAACGACCAGTAAAAGAAAGAAAGGTGAAGCTCGCCGACGTGGCTGCGGGCTGGCCAGTCGACGCGGCGCGCGCAGTAAAGGACCTCGCGAAGGCGGGAGACGGGCATAAGAGCCTCTGCCACGACAGCCTGCGCAAGCGGCCCAGACTGCCCGAGGCGCTGCTGACGCTCCGGGCGCTGCTGTCTGGCGCGCAGGGCGGGGCGGGGGTGGAAGAAGCTGCGCTGGCCTTTGGAGACGAGGCCGCTGCGGCAGCCGCCCGCACCACCGGGTACGAGCCTTCGCCGCTCTCGGTGCAGGTGCGCGGCATGCGCACGGGCGGCGACGCGCAGGCGCGCATCCAGGGCAACATGCTGCTCGCCTTCAAGACGCTGATGCCGCGCCTCGACGCCGTCTACGCCTCGCGCTCTGCGGCGGCGCCCGACGGCTTCGAGGAGCGCATCAACTATTGGCACCGCGAGTGCGGCTTGCCGACCGAGCTACGGAGCCAGCTGCACTCGCTGCGCATCTGGGCGAACGCGGCGAGGCACCACGACGCGGCGAGCTGGAGGAGGGATGGGCCGCGGAGCGAGGGGGAGGCGTCGCGGCTCGTGGCCGCGGTGACGGAGGCGATCGGGGCGATCGAGGGGTAGATGCAAATGCAAATGTGTGTGTGTAGCACGGCTTTAGCCCCCAGGTGTGAGGATTGGGAGGAGCCTCGAGTGCCGATTCTCGCTGCAACCTTCATGCCACCTCGCGGTCGTCCCACTCTCGTCATTCTCTCTCTCTTGTCGCTTCTACCTCTCTCGCGTCGCTCTCCTCTGCCTCGTTCTGCGACGGACGGCGCCGCCGCCTGCCGCAACCTTGCCCTCGCTTCTTCTAAAAAGAAAGAAAGGAAACAGACACCCCAAGGGAGGGATGGGAGGACGGCACGCCGCCACCTCGCAGGGATAATAAATAAATAAATACAACGGACACGCCAAACGATTCGCAGGGATTTTAACCTCGCTAGCTCACGGAAAATTCTTTTTACGGTTTACCCGGGCATTGCGAGGCCCCGTCGGCGCAGGCGGCCCGTGCCCAGTTGTGCGTTTGCGTGCGTCGCAGCAATGCCCGCTAGGGCTGGCGACTACGGCATCGTGATCGACGCCGGCTCGTCCGGGACCCGCTTGCGCATCTTCCGCTGGTGGCAGCAGGCAGTGCGTGTAGCAAGCTCTGCACTATGCACTCGCGCTCTGAGCGCTCTTCACTCGCCGTCTGCAGCCCACGCCCAGACACCAGCACCAGCGCCCCACCCGACCTGGCCGCTCGTCGCTCTCTTCTAGGGTCGGCGGCTCTACCTGCGGGAAGTGAGCGCCGGAGAGCAGGCGGAGGCGCTGCGGGTGAGGCCGGGCCTGAGCGCCTTTGCGACTACTCCGGAGGTCGCCGCAGCGCAGGTGCGCGCGACGCTCGCCCAAAGCCCAAGCTGGACCGCACTCGCTCAAAGCCACAGCGTTGCCGCTGTGCAGGTCAGCGGCCTGGTGCGCGTCGCCGCCTCGATCGTGCCCGCAGCAGCTCAGGCCGCCACGCCCGTCTACCTGTACGCGACGGCGGGCCTGCGGCTGCTGCCCGCCTCGCAGGCGCAGGCGCTGCTCGACACCGTGGGGAGGTTCCTGACCGGGCAGGCAGCGGCGCCGGCGGAGGAGTGGCGCTGCCCGTTTGCCTTTGGCGAGGCGCGCGCCTCC